CGAGTTGGGGGAGGCGGTGTTTCAGGGAATCCTCTGGGCAGAGCGACCTCTGTTATCCAGTTTGATGACTTTACGGGCTATGATGGCGCTGTATCCGCACAATGGAAGCGGGGAGGGAAAGGCCTCAACAGGGAACAACGGATACTACTGGCACTTCTGTACAGAGTGAGTCTTGCCTTGGCTCTCACTCTGACAATGTCTCCCTGTAAGTCCCCGGTGCCCCCTGTGCACGGCTGAATTGGCACTGGTGCTCAAAACGAGCACGTCCATCACTGCAAAAATCCACTCACGGACGTGGCCCCTTTAAGAGGCTTCTGCCGCTGCTGCAGCCTCCGTCTCACTCAGCCGCCTGAGACCGTGTGGCCCCGCGTCCTAGCCCGTCCTACATTCTGCCATTGCAGGGTGATTTCTTAGACTTCTCCCTAGTTGTATGTCTTATCCATCTAGATCCCAGGCGATCTTTCCTTGCCGTTGCTCCTTATTACTGTCACAACTTTGATTTGGTCGCCAGAGGGATGAACAGAGCCTCTATCATCTACGCCATTGTTTTTCTCCTCTAGATGCCTTTTTCCAGTCTTCCAAAATAATGTGATCTCTCAGTACTTTGAATATCTTTATTACTTTTACTGCTATTGAGATACATCATAGTCTACAGTTAGTTATAATCATTGCATGTTTTTATTATATAAAAGAACAGATGATAATGAATATTAGATCTGTATATCAGTATACTTACCTATTGCATAAACATTGCCTATAGGTTATAAGTTACTTCCTAAAATTTGGAACTGAAAGAAAAAAGAAGTGTATTCTGAGTACTAAGAGGCAAGATTGAGGTATGTATAGTGGAAATGGTTAAGATGGGCAGATCTCCCTTGCACAAGCTGCTCCCTTTGCCTGCAACTTCCACTTCACTTAACCCCTTCAGGTTAGGGTCCAGGGTAACATCTTGAGGGAAGCCTTCTCAAACCTCCCTGCTAAGTCAAAGCTCCATTACAGCATCTGGACCTCTTCTTAGAACTTACATTATATCTAACATTGGTATGTGTAATTAAGTACTATCTGCTCCAGGAGGGAAGGGGCTGTTACTGTTTTGTGCATCATTGTCACCCTAGTACCTAACACAGTGCCTGACATATAGTATGTCCTAGTGCTTTTTTGAATGAATAGACAAAAGAAAATGTTTCCTAGAGGAGGATGGAGACAGTCGGTAAGCCTTAGAAGAATAAAGAGGCAAAATGAGCATTTAAGCACTCTCAAAGGGTTAAAACAGCTGAATTACTGGACTTTACTGACTTCTACAATTACATATCCCATTTATAATACTTATACACACACACAAATATATAATGTAGGGTTTTGAAAAAACTTTTCCCTTTCCTGTCAATAATTATTACATTTTTAGACCTGGGCAGGGTCTCTTCTTGCTTTTACTCATTTTTGCTTTCCAAGAGTTTCTAATTTCCCTAAATGACCAATCAAGAGAGTTTCTCTGGACTTCCCAAGATCCTACCCAACCCCTCAACTTTTCTAAGAAAAAGTAGCTTTAAGTTCCCCACACAAATAGTTTCTTTCCCCCCAGAGTTGTTCAGATGTGTAGACTTACCCAAAGTAACAGAGATAAATTTTGGCGTCGGCTAGCCACTTTCCAACCAATAATGGCTTTTGATTTTCATTTGCACTCAGTGTCGCAGGCCATGACAAAAGCCACTGAGGGGATAAGGGGACCTTCTCAATAATCGGCTTCCTTACTAAGAGTTTTACTTTGGGCAGTGCTTAGGGCTTTTTTTTTTTTTTTTTTTTCTTTTTTAAGGTTCCGGGAAGGTAAGCCTCCCCGGGTTGTCCGAGCAACCTCCCGCACCTCTGCAACCCCGCAACCCGCTGCACCGCCCAAGCCCATTCCCTGGCGGTAAAAGTGCGCGCTCCGCAGGGCAGTTTGACGGTAAAGGTCACGTGGGCGCACTTGACCAATGGGGAGCGTGCACTGGCGGCCAGCGGTGGTAGCCAGCGTGAGCAGCCGTGCGCCTCGGTTGCTCCCAGGCACTCGGCGGAGCCGGAGGGAAGGAAACCAGGTACCGGGAATATATTGCCCGGTGCCTCCCATTACCCTAGACTTGGTGTTCGCGACGCCGAAATAACACCAGGTCCCTCTCACACCGCTCCCTTCAGTCTGCACATCCTCCGTTTCTTCAGCAATATCATAAAATATGAGAGAAATGTGCTGCTTCCTCCTGGGCTAGGAACAGTGTGGAAAGGAAAGGGGAGGCTTTGTGTCCACAATTAATTGGGGGATCCGCCGTTGTATGCACACTGGTAGCCCACCAGGATAAAATACCAGTCACAAAGATTTTACATACACAGTAAAATGAGAGGTCTAGGCATGAAAACAAACGTAGATTAAGCTGTTCCTCTATAAACCAAAGGTAGTAGCATTATTAATTCTTCACCCTACTTCTGCTTTTGAGGTGAAACTGTAATTAGGAAAGCATTTTGATAAATGTGACAACCGTCCAGAGGGCACCTCAGAAGGTACCCATCAGCTTCACCAGGAATCTGAGGATCTAGCGGTATAAGCGCGCGCTCCCCAGGGTGAAAACGTACTGGAAAAGGTTTACGATGAAATATAAGTTCTAGAATAGTACTGATGATTGCACATCTTTGTGACTATACTAAAAAGTACTGAATTGTGAGCTTTAAAATGTCGAACTTTATGGTATATGAATTACACTTCAATTTAAAAAAATGTTCTAGAAAGTATTCACAGGTGATAGAATCTCAGGCTTTGAGAAATAATTGTTGACACCTGCACAGATGAAAATACAAAGTTTTAGTCAATTAAGTTATTTCTGTAAAATGGATACTATATTTCATATGGTGGCAAAAGACTATCAGGATGCTTGAAATTTCCACTTTCTCAGTGGCATATAATTCTTTTAAAATTGGAGACTATGTTGAGATTAGTTTTAATAATTCCTTTCAAGTGTCTTACATATTTTTAACCTAAAAGTCTAAAAACTCATAAATTTGACTCCAACACTCTTTATTGCTCCTCAAAACATAAGACTTCGATTATTCAACCTTCTGGGACATTTAGGAATCATACTTTTTTGCAACACAATATTTCAAGTTTATCTTTCCTTCATGTTCTTTCCTGTATTGGCAAAATCAAGAAGGAACCTAAACTGAATTCCTCCTACCTTAAGAAGGCAAATATTGTCAGGTCAAGTTTAAAGATAATATTAAAAGATAAATTTGATCTAAATTATTTTATTTTTTTAAAGTGATAAAGCAGGATATCTTTTAATTTTAAAAGTACAATTCACAATAGAAACATGATTAAACATATGTAAACAGTTATAAATATTTATGAACCTAATAACTAAATTTGATCTATTGTAGTCGATTTGGGATCGTCTTAATTAGCTGTCACATCAATGATTCAGGGCTAATATAAACTAAGAGATTAAATACCATGAAGCAAAGTCAGTCTTAGATTTTTACCATCTAGCACTTTACCACTATTTTCCTACAGTTAAATGTTTAAATAATCTATTTAATGTCCAAATTTATGGCCTCAATACCAAGGGAAATACATGCTAAGTAGAATATTTCTCTTAGTGCAATACAAATAATATCTTACCTGGGTTCCTTGACATGGCTGAAACTAGCTGGTTGCTGGCAAGTCGGGTCATGTACGACTTCTGAAAACTGTATTTCACCCACAGTGATTTGCAACAATTTGTTACTTTGGGAGAGGGATTCAGAAGTTCTTTAGGTTCACAAACAATGGCATCATGTTTATTCTGCTTCATGTTTTTTCCCTGTTGAAAAATATATTTTCAGAGGATTTCTCAGTATATTTTTGGTATGTTAGATGAATATTGATGTTCTAACAATACAAGCAGCCTTTATTCCATATATAAAAGAGTCATGGATTTGGGTGGAAGATGGAACAGGGTGATCTCTAAGGTCTTTTTAAACTTAGATAAACATCTTTCTGTGTAGGTTGGTCTTTAGATCTGCTACACCACCCCACATCCTCATTTCCCAGCAGTTTTTCTTCATCTTTCAATAGCCACATTCCTTCCACAGAACTGTCTAAATTAGTACACATAGAAAAAGACAAATTTGTGTTGCCAAAGAAAAATAGATCAAAAATGTAGAGAGGTAGGGAGGGTTGGAGATGGAATACATTCTTTGTCCTACTTTAGTGTGTGTGTGTGTGTGTGTGTGTGTGTGTGTGCGCTCCCCAGAATGATTCTTTTTAATCCTCCGTATACACAGACCATCGCTACAATCTTTATAGATATTAATGAACGCTATTTTCCTGACCCTTCCTGTTTTCTAATATTGTAGAACCAATCCAGTAAGTTAAAGAATTGTACTAAGACTTTCATTGTCTATCAGTGCACCTCATTTTCTCGACTTAAAAGTTGGCCACAGAGTCTCACTTTCAACTTTACCTGCTAAATCTAACCAGTTACTGGAAAGGAAAGGAATGAATAAGAGAGGTCAGACCATGAAGAACAACTAAAGAAGGTAACAGGGGAGGGCTTCAGGAGCCTTAGATCAGTGCTATCCAATAAAAACATGTGAATCACATATGTAATTTAAGTTTTCTAGTAGCTACATTAAAAAAGTAAAAGGTAAAATTATTTTAATACTATAGTTTAACTAAGTATATCCCAAAATAAATCCAAAAGTGATCATTTCAACCGGTAATATAAAAATTATTGAAATATTTTACATTCTCATTAAAGTAATTCTTCCAAATCTGGTATGTATTTCACACTTAAAATACATCTATCTCTATTTGGACTAATCACGTTTTGAGTGCTCAGTAGTTGCATGTGGCTAGTGACTACTGTATTAAACAGTAATATACAGTGAAGCTGTAATTCAGTTTTAGAAGAAGCAGCAAGAATTGAAAAGAAATGACTCTGAAAGAAAGGCAATAAGCAGCTATCTCAGCTATACAAACCAAGGCAGGGGAAATCATCAGGTAGAATTCTGACTCATCATTCATCAAATGTACCACATTTTCCAGTGTAGAATGCTACTTCGATATTTCGATTATTGTAATTTGGACCAGATTAGGGGAAATAGAGCTGTGGGATGAAGGGTTGTGAGTTCCTGACCATCTTTGGTGCCTTGGGCATCCTAACATTTTAATTATACTCATCAGCCAAACTTCTGACCTTAATTTGATTTCTCAAGTAAACTTTCCATTGGGAAAAGATCATACTCTCTAGCTAATACATCAGAGCCAGATCAGCCCTGGAAAAAACTATTGAATTACTAAATGAGAAAAGTTGATAGTCAAGATGCAGTTACTAGGTGAGGTTCTTTTCTGAAAGACCCAGCTGACAAATTTACCCATCAACCCATTTTGAAACTGTCGTTTTGTACTAGTTATTTACATGGCATTGCTAGAGAACTGAGAATAAAATACCTAACCATGGTCTTTTAAAATAAATGATCAAGAATGTTGGACTCAATTTTCCCCAGATAGGTTTTTATTATAATATAGTTTTCCCAAACAATTCTGCAGGATGTTAAGAGGTATTTATTGAAAAAATAATACTAATTAGATTTTTCACCTAATATTTATTTTTAAATATATGTAATAAAAACTTTTTTATGTAGTTGTTAGTATTATTGGATAATTTTCTTTAGGAAATGGTGTGCCTACCTGAAAATACCAGGATATCCCAGGATTCAAGAAAGCATAATAATGGGTTTGCACATGGAAGCCTCGGCAAACAGTGATCTGATACGTGTGGTCTACTTAACAATCACTGGTTTATGTTAGGTATCATGCATGTCTTATTATTTCAATATATATAGATATTTTTCACTTCATAAAGTTATTTTATCTACTTTGTTTGGAGGTTGTTCTGATATAAAGTTTAAAATATTTGAGAAAAGTTTTTATCATTTCTTTCAGCAATTACTTCATCTATGGGTTCACATGTTGCTGTCTGTGTGTGGTAGGCTAAATAATGGCCTCTCCCCAAAGATGTCCACATCCTAATCCCCAGACTTGTGAATATTTTACCTTATATGGCAAAATGAACTTTGCAGATATGATTAAATTAAGGCTATAGAACCAGAAATTATCCTGCATTATCTGGGCCCAAATTAACCATATGGGTCCTTAAAGAGGGAGGTAAGAGGGTCAGAGTCAGAGAAGGACATGTGACAATGGAAGTAAAGGTCAGAGTGATGTGAGAAAGGGTCTATGAGCCAAGGAATGCAGGCAACCTCCAGAAGCTAAAAAAGGCAAGGAAACTGAAGAATGTAATCCTGCCAAACCATTTTAGACTTTTGACCTCCAGAACTTATAAAATAATAAATTTGTGTTGTTTTATGTCACTCAGTCTGTGGTAATTTGTTACAGCAGCAATATAAAATGTATACACTGTTAATCTGAGTGTATACACTCAGATTATTGTTGGTACATTATAATTTTAAAAGTGTTCATTGTAAAATAAATTCGGAAATAGATGAGAGTCTATATTATAGTTTTCCATAACAATAACTAGATAATAATAATAACTAGAATTGTTGAATTCTAAATGACTACTTATTGGTGCTGGCAACTGTAAATTAAGCTACCAATCTTTGTAGTAAGAAATATATGTTGGTCAACAATGAAAAACAATTACATTGATCCTATACTGAATACCAGGCATTGTACTAGACACTGGGGATACAGTCAGCAAGATAGAAATGGTCCCTTCCCCCGTGGAGGTGACAGTCTAGCAGGGGAAATAGTCGTATATATTTAATTAGTCATGGTAAGAGTTATGAGAACATATCATGGGGAGTGGACCTAACCTAGTCTAGGTGGTCAGGAAGGACTCATCTAGGAATGATGTTTAAGCTGAAACCTAAAAGATGACTTGGAATTGGCCAGGAGGGAAGTTGAGGAAGGAAATAAGAACATCTCAACTGGAACACCAAGTGCAAAAGCCCCAAGGCAGTAAAGAATTCAAGGCATTTGAAGAACTAAACAACTGTGAAGACTTTCCAATTCAGGATAGTTGAGATCTTTCAAAAATAATGAGGAAAAGAAAAACCAGAAAACAGATTTCATCTGTATTCAACTGTGAGTCACCCTAAAACACAATGCATGAAAGTAGAAAATGGATGGAGAACGGTGAAGAACTTAGCAGACCCAAGGAAGGTCACCTTACAGAAAAAAGAGAAATTAAGTCTGAAACAGAAAATGAGACATTCAGGCCTTTTCTCCTGCTCAGATACAGAACTTCGCACCCATTTCTGCTCTCTAGCAGGAAATAAAGAGTATGTCTTGGGGGAGAAAAATGAACATGCCAGAAAAAAGAGCCACAGATACTGACACTTAGGTGTCCCCATAGGAAAAGCCTAAAGTGAATCCTTTTAATTGACACGATTCAAACACATGCTCAGAGCTTCCAATAAGCTTTTAAGACATCATTTAAAATATGAATAGACAAAACTCATCAGATGCCAGAGGAAAACCTTCAACATAAAAAATAAAAAACCTCCAACATGGAAGAATTAGAGGAGAAAAAGGAATCACAGGAAACAGAGACAATGCAGGGAACATAAAAATACTTCAAAGAAATTATAGTATCATCAGAGAAACATTATATCCATAAAGCAAGAACAGGATACTAAAAGAAGGAACAATTTAAGAGCAAGAAAGAGTAGTTCGAAATTACAAATAGCATAATTAATTAAAATTTAATAAAAATTATGTTGAAAGATAAAGACAAAGAAATTCTCCAAAGTAGAATAAATTTGGAGGTTGTTGTAAGTCAGGAAAAGTCATGAGAACATTCTATAAGGTATCTGGTCTGACTTCTTTAAAAAATTAGTAATATAGAGGGATAATAAAATAATAAATTTGTGTGACTACTCTAGAAGATAGGGAGACTACTCTAGAATAAAAGAAGCTAAAGAGATAAAACAATCAAATGCAATATGTGAACTTTGGACCTTGTTTTTGTTTTTATGAAAAAAAATGTTATAAGAAAATGGTATCATTTGTTCCCGGGTTTCGGCATAAAAGAAAGAGAGAGAGAGAATAGTATTAAGGAATTAGTGTTACTTTTCCTAGGCGCAATAATTGTAATACAGGCTTACAGAGAATGTCCTTATTTTTAGGAGTTGTATCTTGAAGTATTTTAGGGTGAAATGTCATGTTGTCTGCACTTAGTTTCAAAAAGTTCAGCAAAATAGTTAAAGCAAACATAAGGAAATGATCACAACTACTTAATCTAAACAGTTAAACAAGTGTTTAAACTAATAGTGTTGATCATGTGATTCAACTTTTCTTCATATTTGAAATTGTTAATAATAAATAACTATAAAAATAAAGCAACTATGTCAAAATGTTGATTATTTTTGTATCTAAGTAGTGGGTATACTCATGTCAAATATACCATACACTCAACTTTTCTTTGCTTGAAATTTTTCGTAATGAAAACTTGGGGGGAAAAGTCCTAAGAGATATCTAAAATTTAATAGGATTTTGTGTTAATATCTGTAAGAATTGTGGCCTATTTTGAAAAGGATTCAAAATAGAATGAAGCAGTAAATAAATTGGTTGAATTCAGTCAAGTGAGGTAGTTATTACAGGTTCTAATCAGATTGGAAAATTAGTTAATGATATAACTGAAATCCTCTTTAGTTTTAGTGGAATAGTTTGGGTATATAAGGATTAAGTAAAATCCATGAGAATTTGGCATATAAGAGAATTAACAATCACTCATATTTATAAGTTTATTTAGACTTACAGTAAATATGTGCCTGAAAAGTTTTGTCAATCAGA